GCAATTTCTGATATTTCATCAACCAAATCAAGAACAAAATCATCACATTCATTGACAAGGAAATAATAATCAGCTGAGGCTTTAAATCACAATGACTTTGCAGGTATAATTAAAGCAAAACACTGCCTGATAATGTGCAGCGCTGTCCAAATAGCGTAGTAGTGATGCTATCAGGTGAAATTCAGCACTTAAATATAAACCAACTGTGAGGCAGAGGCGCCAATACACATTTAGCATCAGTCGGTAAAATGTTTCACAGGGGTCACACCCAAACTAAAGCAGCCCTTTGTATTTTTCTCACCACAATGCTTTTGTCAGCCTGAATGCAGCCTAACTCTTTAAACACCACACTACACCTCTCTCTCACACACACATGCACACACGCACAGACACAGAGCAGAAGACGGGTCTATCTCAGAGCATCATCTCCAGCAGGCTCTGGCAGGAAGCAGTGTGGTGAATTCATTATGCAAATGACCTCTGTTGGGATCTGTTCAGCGAGCAGCTACCTTACCACATGACCAAACTTGTGATGTAGCTTTTAAAAGCTCTTTACATGAATGGATGAATGTAACCGACACACATGCAGACACACACACGCACACATATGTGCACATGCACATGAGACTGTGTTTGAACAAGCTCCCTGAGCCCGACCCTGAGGCTTCATATACAGTCAGAGTGCCATAAATATGTATAGAAGGATGAATTATGTTTGGCCACAGGCTCGTAGAGTAAAGATGTATTTTACAACATCTGCCATTATTCATTTAAGCTTACTTTATATTTTCATGTTACTTCCTGTTTAAAATCTTTCTAACAAATATACAAAAACAGCTTCATTCATGAGTTACCACGTATGAATTAAGAGTCATTTTCAGCTATTTTTCCAGCCTGCAGGAGGTGCGTGAAGTCATTACAGGTGAGGTGGAAAAACCAACAGTGTTTACCCTGTAATACCGTCTTTCAAATGACTTTTTAATTCCCAAAAACGAGCAAATTACGCAACAGAAGTGCTCGCAGCGCTGCAGACTCATGTGCTGTTCGTGCAAATGGAGACGCTGATTAATACGGGCGCTGATTTGATGAGCACAAAAGCTTTGCTGAACGCATCAGTTAGCAGAGGAGCATTTAAAGTGGAGGAGCTGAGAGGGAGACTGTGTGTGTGTGTGTGCGTGTGTGTGTGAGAGTTTCATGAGTGAGTAAGTGGTTTGACGAGGGATTTAGGTGTGTTTGTTATATGTGTTTTGTCCAATTGAAACACTTATCTGTATTCAGGTTTTGCACCTTGTTGCAAACTGGGAGGAAAAAGAAATGATGGTGAAATGGTTATTGAGGCAGATTTGTCAGAAACATTTTGGAAGCGAGACTCATGAGGGAGTTTCTCACGGCGCCGCTGCTGCTTTATGTAGAGCAGCCAATTAGATATCCGTGTGGTACAGAGTCATAGTGAAACTGTCTGAAGATCTCAGGGTGGAAAAATCACAGTTGCCTTTTAAATCTCGTCTCAAAGCTCAGCTTCATGTAAAAGCCTTTCTCTAATTGACGTGTTTTAATTAGTTTTTCTTAATTATTTTTTGCTCAGTTCTGTTGATGCTTTTCATTCTGTAACAATGGCATTTTGTTATGTTACTGTCACTTTTGATATTTGGTTATTCATTTAAAATAATGAGGCCAAATAGTCACTGGTTCCAGTCTGAGTTCTGGGATGAATTTGCTGCTTTGCCTCATATCCTGAGCTCTACTTGAAGGGTTGGTTTTGTTTGCCCAAATATCTGCCTTTAAAGGTGAAGTGTGTGAGATTTATGGGGATTCTAGGAGCGAATTGCAGATTGCATCCAGCTGAAACTTCTCCCAGTTAGAATTCCTTCAGTGTTCATTGTTCAGGAGGTTTGTACCAGGAGCAGAATTATCCATAGAGTTCTCTTCCTCTCTAAAACAAACAGACCCATTGATTTATACTATAAAAACACCATCTAACGCAGTTTCACATCACAAATCCTTGTATTTCCAATGCAGTTTGGCGTGTTGCTGCGGGCAGCTAATCCAACACGTTACTGTGTGGTCACATTTTTTCTCTGATAACATAAGATTCAGACGTTGAAGAGGTTTGTATCAGAAGCCGAATTATCCACAGAGGTCTCTTTTTCTCCAAAACAAATGGACCAAACCAAACAAATGTACGTACGGACAAAAGCCAAAAACAATCAGTCTTCCACCTCACCATCTGTGTCACCAATTTCCTGTCTCCAAACGTTCGTCAGCATGGGTCAAAGTTTATCCCATCAAGTCTGTTTTTATTGATGACAACTTTTCAGTGGGAAGTGGCGTACGCCTCTTTCAGGCCTCTTTTTCTGTGTACACAATTTTTATAAATGAGACCCAAGGTGATTTAAACCGCAAGAAACAATGAATAAAGCAGTTTCACGTTACAAATCAGTGTAACTCCGGTGCTGCTCCTTGCAGCTGGACTACTTGCTATAGTGGCCGATCCAAAAACGCTAATGGTCCCGAGTGTTTGTCTGTTCTACGCTATGGTAGAAATGTGGCGGTGCAACATGTTGATCTTCCTAAACAAAGACCCGCTCCCTATGAAGAAGGACGGCTCATTCTAAGGTCAGAACACGACAGTTCTTATTTTCAGGAGATTATACACCAAAGAGTATTATATTCTATTCCAGTCAATATATCCCCCTGAATCCTACACACTGGACCTTAAAGCACACGATCAAACAGGTACACAGGGTTCCTACGGGTCTTTGAAATCCCTGAAAATTTGTGACTGTGAGGAAATGGGAGAAAAATATAAGGCCTTGAAAGTTTTTGCAGAAAGACCCGAATAGACATGGGTCATTGAAAGTGCTTGGATTTATATATTTTATGGAAGAAGAACCTACACACTCTAAATACACCATTTTGTGGTGCTCAAAAATTATTTAATTTACCAGGAGCAGGCAGCATCTTTACCTACAAACAGTGTCCCCATAATGGACACTATTACAACTATGTATTCAGCAGACTTTTATCTGCACGGTCAGACACAACTGAAGATAACGTAATTTTTTTTTTTTTTTTTTTTTTTTTTTTTAGCATGAACTAACCCTTTAACCAACAGCACTATTGCGCTGCACTATTAGACTCAAACAGTTCCAATTCCAAATAAGGATATATAACATATTCTCATGTACATTTATTTAGCTTTACATATCCAAAACTTCGAGCCAACAGTTTTTCAAGTGGGGTTGTATGTGTATCCATAAGGCCTGTTTCCACTGAAGAAGTTCCTGGTACTATTTGGGGGGCAGGAACTACTACAGGAACGTCCTCTCGCTCGGCCCTCTCAACCGCCATGTCTCCACTGAGAGAGCGGAGTATGAGGAAGGTTCCTGTAAAGTTACCGGGCTCTGTATGTGATGTAATCGTTGCGCGACCATTTTGACCAGGGCGACATAGTGGCGTAGGGACGCTGTTAGCTGTTAGCCGATAGCAGTGTCTGTAATAACTCACTAAACTCACAAAGTGGCCCGTGAAAAAAATATTTTTTCCAGCGGATGTCTTAGTTACAACATGATTGAGCTAACTGGAGTAGTTTCATGTCGTAGCCGACAACGGGAGGCTTTTCACAGATGACGTCCTGATGTTAGCTTTGCTGCTGCTGTTAGCTGTCCCTGTCAGCTGATGCTTTCTAGACATCGTGATTTCCCAAAACTGAATAAATACCACACATAGCAACACAAAACTGCTTTGCTAGCTCAATCATGTTGTAACTAAGATATCCGCTGGAAAAAATATGTTTTTCTAGGACCAGTTATTGAGTTTGTTTACATGGCGGTGGAAGCTAAGAACAAGCTAACCCTTGTCTGCTGAGTTTTAAAAATGCCGGCTATTTTGTTGCTTTCTGTTGACGTCACATCCCGCCTTGAGTATATCCAATCAGCACCAAGTAATCCCCAAGCCCCAGCCAGGAGTTTCTCTGGGCCGTTCTGAGTACCTACTCCGAGGCAGGGACTTGTTTAGCCCCTGTAAAAGTTCCGGAACTCTGTCATTCGGGGGTGGTTCCTGCGGTGGAGACACGCACCAACAGCCCCGGCCCCGTAAAATTACCCCGAAGTTCCTGCGGTGGAAACGGGCCTATAGTGAGTGGTGTCAGTCGGCACGCCCCCATTTTGGAGAAGCCGGCAGGAGTACCAACATGGAAGCTAAGCAATGTGATATCGCTCTCTTCAAAGCCAGACTCCAATGAGAAAAGGAGTCATTTTAGCTTGCTAACTTTGGTGTTTAAAAGGGTTAGCTTGGATTCAACAAAGTCACACAATAACACGAAGAAACAAGAAAGAGAAAACAAGCCCAACACATCTTATTCTTCTTTTCATTTTCCAAGACGACATATGGGTTGTCTTTATATGTAATTTTGATCAATAGAAAATTGATGCATTAATAAATGACTAACATAAAGTCATTAATGTTTTCAGAGGCTGTGTGTAACTACAGACTGGATATAACATCAGGAGTTAAATGTCTGTGGCCACTTCTGTAACGCACACTGATTTTATCTGCCAACACCACATTTTACACACGGCGGCTCTTTAACTTCTGACCTCTCTTCATTTAACTCACAGACTGGCGACGTGTTTATCTGATACAGGACACAGTTTGTTTGTTGCACATGAGCGGAGGCCTCTTTATCAGAGCATCACATTTCTGCCTAAGCCGCTGCCTTTTGCACCAGTTATCATACGAGCACAGCTTGGCACAAACAGCAGCGTGTACGTGTGTGTTATCACTCTCCGCTAAGACACACAGAGCTAGAAGGGAGTCACATGCAAGAGGAGGCAAGGCAACTGAGCGGTGAGGTCACTTCCTGTGGAGAGGTGAAAAGAGGAAGAGGAGGAGGAGGAAGCACACTGTACATGCAGCTCTGAGGCCTAACACAGTGTTTGATTTCATGTTAGCCACTAAGTGCAGGCGAGTTAGTCAGAGGCACCGTTAGAGCTGCTTACCTTTTCTTAGGTAAATGTTATCTGAGAGACAAAAACAAACAAAAAGGGAACAAATAAAACAGGTAGCTGTGACACAGGTGTAATACACACTCTCACAGCTGACTGAGCAACACACACACACACACACACACACACACACACAACATGATGCAAAGCCTTGAAACGAAGCAGCAAAGTTCTTCTTCTTTTTTGGACAGAATCAGAAATTGACAGTATCTTGCAGAGGCCTCTTTAGGGAATACAGAACAGCTGTCATTACATGATTTATACTTCAGTTTGCATCATCAAACATGCAGCCATGTCAGCTGTACATCATTATTAATAGGAAGATATTGAAATATGAGATTTCAGAGAGGCACAGAAGAGTTGGTTTATGGTAACTGAGCTCAGGGGTCAATTCATTATTACTGTAAAATCAGCCCGGCATGTTTCTGCAAACCACCAATACACTTACACTTGTATGTTTCACGTCACATCAACGTGTCCAAAGTGTTGTAGTACATGAGCAGACTTTGTTATCAGCGGTACTACAGTATGAATGCATTCTGACCGGGCTCCAACACCTCAGAATTATTTACCTTGTGCTTTAGTAATAAAAGGTGTATTCAAAAATTGTCATTGTACGGTTCTTGGAAGAATATTTAAAAGACAAAAAAATGGTGCTGTGTACACTAAGCATATTGAAAATGGTGTTGGTTGGAATAAGAACATTTGTACGTTGTCTTAGGGCTCATTTATGCTCCCTTTACGTACGAAAATGTATACATCCGTTTCAAACGATGTTACCGTCACTGCTCACATACTTCCATGCGCCCTTTACGTTGGCATGGATGTTAACCAATATATCCACCAGGAGGCAGCCCAGAGTCAAAAGTTTATGACCACAACAAACTCAAAAACAAACATGGCGACTGTGGAGGAGATATTGATAATGTACCTCTTGCATAAAAGACAAAAACAGAGGCAGCGTTGTAGGAGGCGGTGGTCGGTGAGGCCGTTAAATACATCGCGACTGGAGGATGGAGAATTCTTTTCTCTAGTACTGCCGATGAGAGAAATGGAATTGTTATTTCTTCTTCGTGTCTCACTAGAGCTACGTATCGGGTAGTGACAGCAACACTGCCCCCACGGTTCCCGGTGGTACTGCTCTGTTTGGTCCGTATCCGTAAGCTTTATGGAAACGTGCAGAAATACGGACGAAATGAACACAGAGCACAGACAGAAGGCTCCGTCTGTATCTGGATCCGCATTTAACGTTGAGCATAAATGAGCCCTTACTGTCATCCATAAAGTCGATCTGATCTGTTGCTACTATGAGTTGGATTTTAACCGCTACCCCCGGCAAGAAGTCCCTTTTAACAGCACTTTCCTAAAGGATATCTTGGCATCAGTAATCTCCAGACTTGTGGAATATGTAAAGAATTAAAAGACACCTGCCTAGCTGTTGACCACTGTTCAACACCAACAAACAACAAGACTGGTTGTGATTTTGTTCAGTGGTTCAGGTCCAGATTCTTCCTTTGTCATTAGTTCAAGGTCCACACAATTTAAAGGGAAATTTCGGTTTATTTCAACCTGTCTCCTATCGTCCTAAATTTGTTTCAAGTGACTAGTGACATAAAAATAATAGTTAGCATGTTAGCCATTAGCCTAGATACAGCCGGGGCGCATAGTAGCGTCAGACCTGTTAAAACGTAAGTGAACGGGCAACCTTCAAGTGCAAAGTTAGTCCACTAAACAAGCTTTTTTTGCACAAAGACCGCCTCATATCGTTAGGATAAATGTCAGAGAACATGTAGAAAACGACATGTAAACGTGTTGTCTTACCTTACCGGTGTGCTGCCATGTTTGTTTATCATCTAGCTCTGCTTTCTAAAGCGCGGCCGAAATATCGCGAGAACAAGCAGTGATCTCATACTGTGCCTGAAATCTTGCAAGAACAAGCAGCAACAGCTGGAAGGCAGAACCGGACAGTAGCCTGAAAAGTTCATTCATTTATTTTATAAAAGATTTATAGAATAATGGCTGACTTTTTGCCAGACTTCGACTTTGTGGAGGAAGAATTTGATTTTGCAGAGTTTGATGGCCGCCCTTATTTATTTAAGCCAGAATACACTGACGAAGAGCTTCGTGAAATTGAAGAATGGAGGAGGAGAGAGAGAGAGGCGCAACAGGTAGAGGACGAGAGAGGAGGAATGGCTGCTGCAAGGCTGCGTAGCTCTGGAGATTGGTGGTGTACCTGTGAATGCTGTGCCCCAGTGCCCACAGAAGAGGAATGCCTCTGTTGCAAGGAATGGGACCGGTTGCAGCCTTATTTTCAAGGTCTGGATGTGACCGAGGACGAGACACCTCCACCTGGAGTAGTGTCCAGCTGGGCTTTATCTAGAGCTCGCAAGATTTCAGGCACGGTATGAGATCGCTGCTTGTTCTCACGATATTTCAGCCGCGCTTTGGAAAGCAGAGCTAGATGGTAAACAAACATGGCAGCACACCGGTAAGGTAAGACAACGCGTTTACATGTCGTTTTCTATATGTTCTCTGACATTTATCCTAACGATATGAGGCGGTCTTTGTGCAAAAAAAGCTTGTTTAGTGGACTAACTTTGCACTTGAAGGTTGCCCGTTCACTTACGTTTTAACAGGTCTGACGCTACTATGCGCCCCGGCTGTATCTAGGCTAACGGCTAACATGCCAACTATTATTTTTATGTCACTAGTCACCTGAAACAAATTTAGGACGATAGGAGACAGGTTGAATAAACCGATATTTCCCTTTAATATATTAGGCGTTGTACTTGCATTTGACCATGTCGTCGAGCTAGTTTGCTGTCTCTGTCAAGTAGTTGTCCGATCTCTCGCTTATTCAAAAGAAGGAAACGGCACTTCAGAATAAAAGCCCTGTACCAGAAATTCACCGTACTTAAAAATAAACTGTGACATGTTCACAAGTCACTTGTGCTCCTTTCAGAATAGACCTGGGATCCACCAGTTGGGAACCACTGATTTAGTGAGTCATTGCTGTTTTCAGCAGCTTTTTGGGCACCGAACATGGGTGTTTTGTAGCAATCAGTTGCTGCTTTTCCAGCGCCGATAGTATCCCAAAAACCTTTTTTTTTTTTTTTAATTGAGACATTGCTGCTTTTCCAGCAAGGATAATGGTGAGAAATAGCTGTTTTAATGCCTCTAAAACGTGTCCCGTGTGATCAGGGCCTAATGCTGCTGTTTTTTTTCTCAATGAAGAAAATATATTTCAGTAAAACAAACAATATCCAGTAGTATAGTGGAAGTTGATGAGGTGGGTGTACTTCTAGGTAAATGGGTAGGTTACCAGGCAAGCAGGAAGTGGGTATATTCTCATATATATTCCTAGTAGCTTTGGGCTGATATGTGGGTTTACTAAATTATTAAGTAATAATTCTTTTAAAATCAGAAAATACTTTTGTTTTAATGTTAGAATAATATAAACCTTATCATAGACATTCATACATATTTCATTTGTTGTGTTTTATACACCTGCAGAATATTCTAAACTGATGGAGGGTCATGTGATCACTCAATCAGCTCTTTCCCCTTCAACATATGTTTGTACTGTACACTGCTCAGATTACCTGCCAATATTTGTTTCCTTTTTATGCATGTACACTTACAATAAATGTTTCTCTGTGATGTCCATATGGTGTTTTTCATATGTCACAACACATATCATGAGCGAAACTAAGCCTGAGTTATGGTGGGGCGCTCGACAGAAAATAAAGAGCCGTGCGATGTTTTCAATTTATGCTTCTGTGAAAGGTTTCAGTCATCTCCATGGTAACCAGAAGTTGTCCTCCAACTGGCTTGTTTAGTTATTTTATTTTATTATATCATCCTGATTGGTATACATATATATCCTTCTGACAGCTGCTTGTTTTACTTCTGTATCTGTGCTACTTTGTTTCCTTTTGCAGTTTGATAATGGAGGTGTTTGATTAAATCAGTGAGCTAGTTGAAGGGATACACAGATTTTCAACCAGCTCTGTATCAAAACAGCGTGGGTGGTGTGTGTCTCAGCAGTGCCTAGACACGAGTATTATCCGCCGATCGATGTAAATGGTGTCATTCGGCAGAGTTTCATGAACTATCGGGGTCTGCCCATTGGTCCAACAGCCCATTATTCCAACAACCCATTGGTCCGACATCCCATTGTTCCGACCATATTAAACCCATTGTTCTGAAGTCCCGTTGTTCCGAAATCATCATGATGCCCTGTGGTTAAGGTCTGGTTAGGTTTAGGCACAAAAACCACTTGGTTAGGGTCAGGAAAAGATCATGGTGTGGGTTAAAATGAAAAAGAAAGTGGCAAACACATAAGTTGTGAGCCTGCTTCGCCTCAAGCCTTTCCCAGCTGACCCAGAGCCGGTCGCGGCGCACCATCAAGGCAGAAATACGCCCGCCGGGAGCCGTTCAGCACCGCAGAGAGCTCCCCACACAACCCCGACCCCAGAGTTAATAACAGGAGGTTATGGTGTTTCATTCTCTCCTCTCTATGACACTTGTATCTCGACCAGTAGCCTACTTTTGTTGCATTGCTGATCCTCTATGGTACACAAATACAGTAATAATCACATATCGGAACAACAGGACGTCGGACTAATGGGATGTCGGACCAATGACATGGTCTATGGGCTATCTGGGTTGTTGCTCGAACTACAGGCTGTACTTGCACATTCTTGTATTGCCTGCCACCGTGGACACAAAGAGTACAGAAGCAGATCAAGAGACAAATCGACCCCTGTGTCTTTTTCTGTCTCTCAAACTTGGACTGAAATCCGATCAAACGGTAAAACTAGACAGTGCTGATTGACTACATATCAAGATTATGTTACTGTACTGCCTATTTCTTACCTACAGTATTTTTAGAAACATATTCTAGTGCCGTATTTACCTGGAATAGCGAGGGTTTGTGAAAAGTAAGTTTGCGCCATACTGTTTCCTGCACAGTGAAAGCCTAAGGAACTGCGCTGATCAAATATAAACCTTTT